TTCTTTACACTGAGGGTGGTGAAACACTGGAACGGGTTGCCCAGAGAGGTAGTGGAGGCCCCATCCCTGGAAGCATTCCAGGCCGGGTTGGACGGGGCTCTGAGCAACCTGATCTAGTTAGCGGTGTCCCTGCTCACTGCAGGGAGGTTGGACTAGATGACCTCTAGGTGTCCCTTCCAACCCAAAACATTCTATGATTCTATGATTCTGTATTTATGAAGAACCTGTCTCTCTGATTGCAGATAAGCTCTTGAGTGTAGTTTGAATATATACACAGAATTAATTGTCTATTTAGAGAGTATATTAAAAGCTTTAAAACTGTCATTAAACTTTTGGGAAAAGTGGCTGTAACTCTTTGTTTAGCTGTCTGTATATGGCCTTGCTGCATTAAGAATAATAAGCATAACAGCTTAAGGTGTGCTATTACTTAAATAGCTCACTTAACTGAAAATAGTTAGTTGAATCTAACTTGACAAAATAGTGTTCCAGACTAAAATGTCTTTTAGCTAGGCATAACTGAAACTATAATATTTATTTTCAGCTGAGAATATCAGCATTCTTTCATTAGGTGGCTGTTATAAACCATTACCTCAACCAAGAAGTATGTTGAGAAAAAGTGGTCCTGTGGAAGACTATGAGCTTAATAGGTCAGAAGGAAAAAAAACTTCTAGAAATGGATTGTCTTCATTTTCGGCACCATCGTCCTTAACTACACTGAATGCCCAAGCCATGCCCAAGAAAAAAAATTGCTTGCCAAAAGCCCTGGTGCTGAAGTAAGAGAGTATATGTGTTGAAATGTTTTGGGTTTTTTTACCATCTACATGGGAAACCTTTGAAACTAACTTTTATTTAGCTGACAAAATTTTCCAGGAGAAAAATAAGGCAAAAGTAGGAGTGAGAAAAACGTCTTTGCCAGTAGCATTCTTGTGATGAGGGGCAGATAAGAGAACATAATTCTTTTTCTTTCTAACTAGAAACAGGATTTTGCAATGGTTTGCAGCTTTATTGGTTTTATTTCTCCAAATGTAAAACAAAAATTGTATTTCTCCTAGAGAGTTACAAACAAGCATTCTATCAAAGTATTATAAAGTCAAGTTCAATTATTCTGATTTGTTATGAATGGCTCAGTTGTTTATTTGTCACTTTCTGGTCTAAGGGTCCATGTCTAGTAAGTACTTCACCATGGACATGGTACTGTTGGAGTGGGTCCAGAGAAGGGCTACTAAAATGATCTGAGGGCTGGAGCACCTCTCCTATGAGGACAGGCTGAGAGAGTTGGGCTTGTTCAGCCTGGAGAAGAGAAGGCTGCGAGGAGACCTGATTATGGCCTTTCAGTACCTAAAGGGGGCCTATAGGAAAGACGGGGACAATCTTTTCAGTAGAGACAGCTGTGTCAGGACAAGGGGTAATGGTTTTGAACCAAACCGGGGTAGGTTTAGACTGGATACAAGGAAGAAATTCTTTACGCTGAGGGTGGTGAAACACTGGAACAGGTTGCCCAGAGAGGTAGTGGAGGCCCCATCCCTGGAAGCATTCCAGGCCGGGTTGGATGGGGCTGTGAGCAACCTGATCTAGTTAGCGGTGTCCCTGCTCACTGCAGGGGGTTGGACTAGATGACCTCTAGGTGTCCCTTCCAACCCAAAACATTCTATGATTCTATGATTTTCCATTAATTTTACTTTCCACAATGAAAGATCAGGACACTCCAATTTACTGATGTGTGAAGAAGCACCAACTGCAAAAGCTTAGATACATACAACCAGATAAATGTTGTAATTTATACCTTAGTAATATCTAATGGTCCAATACAAGCCATCTTAAAAATCAGTGGCATTCTTAATCTCCTTTCTACTCTCTTTTAGAATCTTTTGCATGCCCTTGTGTCTCCTTCTGTTCTGGTTTTGAGAATGGCCCAGTCTCATTCTTGCAGTTATATCCAAGTATCACCCCAGGTATTGAGAAATTTGGCCCTAGAGACATCCCAGGAATGGAGAGGAAGACATTAAAGTTTGAGAATTTATTTTGTGTATTTTGACTTGTGTCAAGTGTATGCATCATTGTCTAAGCATCTTTGAGACTTAAATCATTTTAATTTAATTTCTTCTTAGGCAGTCAACATGACTAGGGTAAATCTTACACTTCTTTGACTTCTTCCTGCACCTTCTCCACAAAGGTTAATACAAACTAATATTTTTTCCATTTTTTTTGATTTGCGAGTCCTTAACAGTCCTTAGGAAATGGGTAGACAAGCAGACTGATCAAAGTTGTGTAACTTGAACTGTCAAGAAAGAAACTACAATAATTACACTTACAGGTTTTACAGAGCATTTTTCAGCTAACCATGGGAAGGTTAGTATTTTGTATACGTTTTGCAAACAGAGCCAAACTGACTTGCACATGAAGTTCATGCTACAAAGTGCTCACAGTCAGCAGTAAATCTGCTTTCTCCAGTGTCCTGTGCACTAAGAGCTCCAGCTTGATTAGAATTGTACAGTTTCTGATGCCTACAGGTTATATACAGTTGTACTGTCTAGTAAGTGTAAAGTAAAATACGAAAGTTTACATATCAACAGAGGATAGAAAAAGGTTCATATAAATTCAGAATTCTCCTTGTCACCTTGAACTTACCTTCATCATTGTAAATCTAGGTTAAATTTCTCAGGTTGTCAGCATTGATATTCCTTTCTTCAGGTAAGTTGGAGTTAACCTCTCATCCACAACTTATATATCTCTTAAGATTTCCATCAGAAAAATGTGGAAGACTACAATTTGGAATTTACCATGGCTTTTTTTTTTGTTTGTGTCTGAATTGTTTTACAAATTTAGATCTCTGTATTAATGGCAGTTCAGATCTGATAAAAATGTTTTTTAAGTATTATTAATGAAGTATTTCATAAATGACAATTTGACCACTTAGGCATGCATTTAAATTGAGGTGATGTTTTGTTTAAATCCCCACCACAGAATCTTCCCGTCATTTCCTTGTGTCCCCCACATCCCCGAAAAACACCACATAATGGAGGTAGCTTTTGTTACCTGAATTGTCATACAGACTTCATTAGTAGTTTGCTGGATGTTAGAAGAGCTCTTGCTGCGATTGCAATGGCTCTTGCATTTGGTTTCTGCACTGGAACGTTGTTTGGGTGGTGAAGCAGACAGGAAGTTTTGCCTTTGTTGTGCTCGCACATGCTATAACATTTGTTAAAATTTTAGTTGCTACTCCAGTCTTACATTTAAATTAAATACAGGTGAATACTTTTCTTATTAGTCCATATAGTTCTTAGAAGGAAGTATACAGGAAATGCATTATATTATGTCAAACCTAGTAATATATTTCATAAACAGATGGTTTTAGTACAGAAATAACAATACTGAGAAACAATGAAATTCTTGTTAATGTGTCCTCTCAATCCTTTTTCTCCCATTAGATCAAGATCAGAAGATTAGCACCAGTGACTTGAAACTGGAGGACAATGGTAGAAAATCTCCTTCTGGGGTAGAAGTAATGATGACCACAGTATATGAGAAAACGAAGAAATTAGAGAAGTCAACAGATGACAGTTCAGATGAAATGGTGAGAATAGTAGAAGGGCAAATAGTGACTGATCCAATACAGGAGGTATCAGTGAATGATCAAGCTGAGCATGGGGAGGTGAAGAACACTTCAGAGGACTCTGTCAAGGTATTATTCATATGCGTTTTTACCATTGTTTAGAACAGTATCCTAGAAGCACAGTGAGAAGTTTTGCAAAGCTACTGTTGGTTCCTTAAAAGTGTAGGAAGTCTGTTTGTAAAGCTGACAATTTATCTCTGGCTTCTAGAGCTGAGTCTCTTACAAATTCTTTATAGTTTTATGGAAGATGTAGGAAGTACCTTTTACTTGAATCATTTCAACCAGATAAAGGTATTGAAATGTACATTTTCCAATCTTAATGCAATACCCTTATCCCAGTGAAAATGTCAAATCTCTATTGTGAGGTTAGCTGAATTGGAATGAGCAGTGTGTGTTGGCAGAGGATAGAATCCATGGTGTGACTTGAATAACGGATAAGATGCAAAGCACTTTATGCTTTATCATAAGAAAGAAAATATGTGGATACATGTAACCGTTAAAGCTAAATGTTAAAACCAGTTTAAAAGAGTGTTGATACAATAACAGGGAAGCCCACTGCCCAGCTGGGTTCTTTTTATTCCTTTGTCTTTCTAAACTATAGACTATATTTTTACATAATACAAAGAAACATTTCTAGGTATCATTCCAAAAAAATACAAGCATTCTGAAAGTTTGTTTGTTTGTTTTCTTTTTTTTACTTTCTTATCCTGCACTGTACCCTTTCTATGTTAGAGTGGCTTTCTTGCATATTTTTCTAACGTCATAGAATCATGCAATATCTTGAGTTGGAAGGGACCCGTAAGGATCGTAGAGTCCAATTCCCAACATCCTTGTTAGCTTGTAAAAATCTGTTTCATCCTGATCTAGTTCTGTTGCTTGAGACACTATAATTTTACTTTTCCTCTGTGTTTCTTAGAAACTAAATGAAACAAAGGAGAGAGTTCTACAAAACCCAAAGGCTTCTTTATCTGACAGGTAAGAGAAAGATGCTATGTATCACAGTCTGCAGAGTGTAAGATCAATGTAAATGCTCTGACAATGCTGCTTCCCTCATTTTCTGTCAGCGTTGCCTTCACTGCTGACAACCTCTGACCATCTGTGGAAAACAGTTTAGTAGATGTGGCATGTTACTATAACCCTTGCTCAGGGTTGTACCAGATCAGACTCTTTTCCAGTGTCTATGGTAGGTATGTACTACTGGATCCACCAATGAATCCAGTCCATGATGTCTTTACAGGTTTTAAGCTCTTTTGTAGAGGAAAGTATGAAGAATTTGTAAACTTTCTTGGGCTGAATATGTTGAGTAGTGGCTTCTTTTGGCAATAGTAAAGCCCTCAAAAGAAAAAGGGCTTCTCCCTCCTTTCATTTTCCTCTTTTCCTTCATAGGTCTCTGTCTTCTGCGAACTTAAAGAAAAAGGCAAAAGCTGTTCCATCAGCTACACCTGTTTCATCACAATATCTGGGAACATTAAAGGTGTTGGAGGATAAATGCGTGCAAAAGAACAGTACAAAATTTGACAAAGCAGATAGTTTACGAGCAGCTGTTTTCCAGGTAGATCATAAAAACAAACAAAAAAACCCAATGAACAAAACTGTGCATATAACAGTCCTGTTGTAGCCGTCAACACCTCTTACTTTCTTGAAATCAATATTTCTGAGTATATTCCTTGCATATGCTTACAGGTGTAATAATCCTTTTATTCTGTGGGCTGTGCCTTTTCATCAAGTTACGATCTAAAAAGCTAGATGAGAGGGGGGTACCATGGTTCATGATTTACAGTGTCAGACTATTTTCAGACACGCATAATATTTTCCTTTATTTCTACTTCTTCCTTAACATAAGTAAGTGTGTAGTTTAGTTCCTTTTCCTGTTACGTTTGATTTAGTTGCCATTCAGGGAAAGTGAAAACAAGTCTAATTCTCTGTCCTTCTCTCCAGAAGGATAATCTATATAGACTCTGCATAGAATTTCGTAACTATTAGTTTGTGGGTCCCAACAGATTTTTGCTACTAATCTGTGTGAGGAAAAACTTTCATTGACAGATGCTGTTCCTATTGGTATGTGATTTTAGTACTTGTTATGGTTCTAGAACAAAATTTAGAACTTCAAATCTGTGTTTGTATTGTCTCTGTAATTTTAAAAGGTAAAATAGGCTTCATTAACAACACTTGTATCTCTAAGCAGCATACCAAATTTATAATGAAACCCTGAAAATTTAAGCCTGATTCTGCAAGTGGCTTGTAATACTTTATGGATGCCTGAAGTCTCATTCCAGTGGGATTTTATCTCTTTAATTATAGGTATTTGCAAGAGAGAAAATAAATGTAAATAATATTTCTGTATACCAAGCGATAAGAATCTTTAGTCCATTCTTTTTCTTTTTCTTTTAATGCTTACATTTTTTGATGGTTTTTTAAAGATTTTTTTAAAGATGCTTAAGCTTTTTCATAGTTTGTAGCTATGATTTTAGAACCTTTGGTCTCCACGTGTGGTAGTTATTTAAGTAGCACATGGAAAAATTAAGAGTAATTTTTTGGTGGTCATTATATTCATGCTGCTCTAGTAATAATCGGTTGTTTTAACAGAACTTTTTTAGCTATATCTCAAAAAGACTTTAAAAGTACAGAAGTCTTCTAATGGTTCTTACAGAATTGGTTGGAAAAGAAAAGGGCCTTTCTACTGGAATTAAAGAGAATTGAAAAGAAGAAAGCTGAAAAACAAAGGAACAATACTGAAAAGGTTTGTTTACATTCTTGTTTAAAAAGAAGTTGACAAACTATAATTCTCAGAAGTATGCTTACCTATGGTCTCTGCCTAATTACATCACTCTGGTATTCTAAAGCATCTGGTTTTCTCTAAATAGCATAAGGTGAGTTGAAACAGTAAATGGCATGTCCCACTTGTAATGGTTGCTGCAAA